GCGTCCTAAATCCGTCTTGTTGAATCCGCTGTTGACGTCCGGACTAGTCTAAATGATAGAAATGTAGAGATGAAGGTTAGATTCGAACATACATACTTCGTGATACATACCTCTCTTGTTAACCAGTTGGCGCGTACGATCTGGCAGTTCATTAACGATAAATCTTGGCCTTACTGACGTGGTATGCACTCTGCGGTAGTCAAAAATACTCCTAATCTCGTATACAAATTTACCAACAAAGTATTTTGATTAAAGACAAATCTTAATAAGGGATAAAAGATTGAAGTTGCTATGTTAAATTGAAACAGTAATTCACAAGATCGTGACTGAGAGTATTATATTTGAACATTTTCAATAATTATAAACAAGATAATTTTTCAAATGTGAATAAAAAAAATATATTTTTTATTTATTTAGCTACTGTCTTTCAAGTTAGGATATTCTAAAACTGTAACACGGTTATCAGGTTCACATACAATAGCATTCTTTTTTAAAATCCATTTCGAATGGTGGAATGGATATGAATGATATGAGTCTGGTCCCGTGGCGTGCATGAGCATTACGCTCGCCATGGCGCCACCAGGATGGTTCCTGGTCGCGCGCGCGCTCTAATAGAATAGACATTTCTTTCATCAATTCAACATGGTTCATTCGAGAGAAAGGAAAGAAAAAAAAATAATCCATCAGTGTAACGATAAATAATAAGAGAGAGATGTTATGACAGACTGGAGGAGTAGCTAGCCGCTACTCGGCAATGATGTTTATTAGCTACTTCACATCTCCAGAATGTGCCTATTGCACATTCAACACAAGCTTATATATGATAGAGAAACGAAGAGAGAGACGACACAGGGAGAACAATAGAGAGAGGAAGAGGAAAGAGGAAGAGCAGTGAGCCGTGACGCATATATCGGTACAATCAGTTTCAGTCTATTCGATTGAAAAGCGTTGAACACGATGATTGTCCCAATCGGCGACATAGAGATTGCCATATCGATCGAAGGACAAACCTACGGGATAGTTGAACTGATTTGCTCCTGCTCCTTGACCATTTTGACCCACAATGATAGTGCCCTGTTTCGCTCCTTTAGGCCAACGCATCACTCGATCATTCCACGTATCTGCCACATAGATGGTATCTAACATATCGACGCACAGTCCGTAAGGATACCACAATTGTGTCAGAGCATTCCCTCTGCCTTGACCTCCAGCGACAACAATTCCCTCTTTTGCACCTTTATTCCATTTCATTACACGATGATTGCGGTGGTCTGACACGTAGACAGTCTGTTGTTGATCGACAAAGATGTAGCGCGGATCGTTGAATTGATTGAGATCAGCACCTTCGCCATTGCCACCAGCCACAATAGTTCCAATCTTCTCTCCTATTTGATATCGTCTGACTTCATGTTTTTCGTTGTCAGGGATGTAGAGATATCTCTGATCATCCATGACCAATCCATAACAATAGATGTTGTCAATGAGAATTTCTCCTTGAGTTGTACCACTACGCCGAGACCATCGTACCACCCGTCGATTCTGCCGATCACAAATAATAAGACTATCCGTCTCTTTGTCGATCAACACATCGGTTGGCCAATTCAATTGATCCAATCGATTTCCTCGGCCATTGCCACCAGCTACTATTTGTACATTCGTATCACCCATTTTCCATTGGATGATACGATGATTGTCCAAGTCAGCGATCACCATCATTTGATCATCATCAACGAAGAGACTCAAAGGGCGGTAGAGTTGATTGGTGGCATTGCCGCCTCCATGACCTCCAGCAACAGTCACTCCATTCTGTGCCCAACGGGCATCGGCTGGGATATTGGGAATCGCTACAATGAACAAAGAATAGAAAAGGAATCGTCGTTATCGAAGGGATCTCCCTCCCTCTGACGCAGAGGAAAAGAGCTATGAAGGAGACATTCGTCTTCTTTGAAGGGAATTAGGTAAAACCTCTGACAATGTTCTTTTCGGAGAGAAAGATTCAAAAATCTTTTCCTAGTTTCCTATGAGAAAAAAGGATTTCGTAACAATTCTTACATCGATGTCACTTTTAGTTTTTGCTAAGATCTTTTCCACCCTAAAAACTACACTTGGAGATTGCTGTAAAGATGTACTCCGGGAAAGAGCAATGCTTATGCAATGCAAGCTTTCGAAAGAAAAACCTTAGAATCTGTGGATTTTATTCGAAGTTGCGAAAATTTAGAATCTTATGGAATAAAATAATGAACTATGTGAAATTCCTAAATTAAAAAAATTCTGAGGAGATTCAAGTACATCTTTGGAATGTGATACCATCTACAATTGAGCTATATATGCAATTTAGAAATCGTAGTTCTGAAATTGATAGTTAGAGAGAATTCTGCAAAACTGTGTTAGGTTCTGGTGAGAATGAGCTTCAAACCATTGCATTAGAATCTTAGGAGGGAAGGTTCTTAGATGTTAGCCTCAGTTTTTGAATTGAATATATGAGTGAAGAGCATGCCAATTGTACCGTTGGGTTTCGAAAAGAAAGGTTTCTATTAGTCGAGTTTGATAAATTATTTTTTGTTTTATTGGTCAGAGATGACCATTCACTTCTGAAAAAAATTAAGTTTTCATGTCTTTTAGTTTACAAGAAATCGTAGGAACAATGTCAAATATCTAGTTTTTAACCCTACCCTTAAGAAGAAGAAGATCAATTTTTTTTATTTCATTGTAATTCTTTTTAAAATTATTTTGTTAGCTAGAATTGTAGAGCTCGTGAAACGCTTTCGGAATATGTTATTACTTTTTGCTGTGGACAACGTTTTATGAACGAAAAGCTACCAACAACCCTTATTAAGACACTTCTAATTTTTTGTTTAGAGCGAGATTAAAATCATTGGGACAAGTAAAAGAAGTTTGTTTCATAAACTTCACTGATTGAAAAACTATATACAAAGTGTAAAGAAAAAAGCTGTTCACTCAAAACGTAGAGTGCCATTTTTGAATATTATTCTTGCTATAAATCAATGAAAACTAAACCATTTGCTACAAAAGTTTGATCCTTGTTTCGGCTCAAAGAGTTGAGTAATATCTCAACAAAAAAAATCAAGCAAAAATCTTTCTCCGTTCAAGAGAAAATTTAGTTTTACTAAGAAAGTGTGGAGGGACATTAAAATCATCGAAATTCCATTTACACAAATTCTCTCTACGAATGTATCCAATTAAAAGAGACCGAATGTTTACTAACATGTAAAGATATACGATAAAAATTATTCTATGTTTACGAGATTCATCATACTATTGCACTCTCTGTACATATATATCTATATAACGACATATGTCGTATCGAAGTTACACCGGTCGACAAAGTTATAAATTCGACGCTCATAGTTATCGATGTTACAACTTCGACAGAGAAACTTGTCGAAGTTATTTTTAATTCATTTATCAATAAGTAATTTATTAAATTGAGTATTTTACCGTTAAATATATGATCAAAACATAAAATTTTTCCTAATAAATGTTCATTTACTTCACAATATTGTAAAAAAAATGAATATTTATTAGTAAAAATTTTATTTTTTGATCATATATTCAACAGTAAAATACTCAGTTGAATAAATTACTTATGGATAATTGAATTAAAAATAACTTCAATACGACATATATAATAGTAACATCTAGGCTATGATTAAAAATTCACTATACTCTCAGTCGACATTATTATATAGAAAATACATTATTAGAAAACATGCAAAAATCTTTTTATCGATTT